TACAAACTTCACAGAATGGTTGCAAGTTCTTAAGTCCTAGGTTCTTGAGTGCAATACTGGAACAGTGACCCAATCTACAATGCCACAATATCGTTCTCTTTTGTCAGTAACGATACTTCATAATCAGGCACAAAATCACTGGTATATTGGCCACGATTATCACAATAGCCAAAACGTATATTATTGCTTTTCTTAGCAGTAAATACTTTTTGATCCTTAAAAATCATTCTGAAACCTGCAGTTTCAATATTTCGCATTGAAATTAATTTACCATTTAAATCTAGTATACAAGTAAAAAGTGCACTTTTGATAGTTATTTGAACACCATTGGATGCTTTAGTAGAAATATGGTTAACATCTTTCAATTTTAAGGTAGATGAATGCAAAGCACATTTCACATTTCCTGACTTGGGAGTGAATGAAGAAAACCATTCTTTATATGAGCATGTGTGAGAAATTGTTCCAGAGTCAATAATAAAGCTTCTTGACATTAAATCACCTGTACTAAAGGAAATCGCTGGTGAAGCAATTCTTCCTGCATTCAACTTTACAAAAATGTTTCACATGCCCAGGTTTCCTATACTGAAAACACAAAATTTTTTTCTTAATTCTTTTTTAAAATGTCCTTTCTTTTTACGAGACATTCCTTTTGACTTGCAGAAAATGCAACATTATCTTTTGCTGCGTGCTTAATATCCTTTACTCTTGAATCACTGTAAAGGGCTTCTGCATCTATAATTGCGAAGTAACAAGCTCCAAGGTTAAATTTACACTCTGTTGATTTTCTTATGTAATCTTCTTATTTTCAAACTGTAGTGGAAGAGACGTCAGAATATAAACTTTTGTATCCATACCACACTTCTGCACCAGATAGTCGTATATCTGCAACTAGTTTTTCATTTCACCAAGACTTCACAAATCTTCTTTCTAGTTGCCAAGCATTTCCCTGTAAGGATTTTCTTGTTTAGATTCATAAATAGTATGAAGCTTTTTCCACATTTACTTTGCTGACTTTTCTCCATGAAGTGAAGCCAGAACTTGATCATTTAACATTGCCATTAGGAATGAATAAGCATTTTCATCTTTAACGACTTCAAAATCTTACATTACATCTGGTTATTTTTCTAAAAACTGATCCATTTCTTTGGTGGCAAACAGTGCTTCAACACATCGACTCTAACTAGCATAATTTGTTCTATTGAAAGGAATTACAGCATTATTTTTCACTTACCATTGCTCACACAAACTAACTTTCAGTCACTATGGCTAGTTGCGTATCCAAATTAAACAGCTTACTTCTAGAGAAAACAAACAGTATAAGAAAACTGCTGAAAGCAATTACAGCTACTAATCCTATTTGCAATATACTACTCAGTACACTTAACTGCATTGTAACTAGACATTCTGTCAAAAGACTGATTGCATCCTTATTTATAAATACGTATCTCACTGAATCCACCAGTCAGTATTGATTAATTTCATAGACTGGGAGGTGAGCTATGCATGTTTTGCATAAAATCACCATTTGAAATCTGTGTCAATAAAATACGTGCACGAAAACTAAAAATTAAATCTTCGTTACCCTGCCCCAAACTATGCTGTAATAGAAATGTTAACTCCATTTTCTCTAAATCAGTGGTTCTGAATTTTTATTTTGTGATTTGTTCTGTCTGGCTTGTGTCAGAATATCATATTCTTCCCCATTTTTTTAATCATTTTTATTATGAGTGGTTCATTCATTCCAAATGATAAGCGAAAATTTGAAGTATTGTGCTATAAAATATATTATATAGTGTGCTATAAAATATATTAATATTTTATAATACACTATATTGTTGTAAAATATATTCAGAATTTAACAATTAGTATAATTAATAAATATTTACTATTACATGTTAATTAATATGTAAAACGTTATGAAAAAGTAGAAATTGAAGCATGTACTTAAAATGTTTGGTAGTTGCATATTATCCTGTCCCTCCCCTCCCCCAAAAAAACTGCAAGGTTTGAACAAAATTGCACCAATCATCCTGTGGAATTTTCAAGGAACTGATATTTCGTTATTTAGTAAACAATCAGTATTTGACTTGCTTCATTTTTGTGCTTTATAAACACACTTTCATTTGTTTCTCATATTAGACTATCCAATTTTACCAGTTTTATTTATTTATTTATGGAAAAACATGCAAGGTCTATATGCTTAGCAGGAGAGATGCCTTTGTGGCAGAGTCGTAGCTAGGGTTTTCAGCGCCCAGGGACAACTGAAGATTTCGCGCCCCTACTGCTTGCCAAGGATGGAAAACATTTCATTCTAAAATGTCGTAACATCAGTTTGGCGCCCCTTGGAGTCTGCATCCAGGGACAGATGCCCCCCTCTAGCTACGCCCCTGCTTTGTGGAGGACTTTCAAAGAGAAATTGTCTTGTAAACATGTTACATATGGGAAAAAACCAAAAACACCCATACAGCCAGCCCATTTCCTGGGATTCTAACCCCAGGCCAAACTACCACTGTTCAGCAATTTTACCACTCGGTCGCTGTTGGGCCCTATTTGACCGGAAACTCTGTTTAGAACACTTTGAATACAAATTTCTCACAAATAATTGTTCCTATCTATTACTGTTTTGTTGGCCATATTCAGCTGCCTATATTGTGTCCGTTAACGCACACCTTTTGATGGAGAATCCCTTAACTCTGAGAACAGTCCACTGCTTACTGTTCTGTAGCAACCAGGTCCTGAGTTTTAATCATATTTTATTCCTCAAAATGTATGAAAAATTACAGAGGTAGCAATTAATTTATATCTTTGTGTTCATGAAAACAAAACATGACTTATTGAGAATCAAACAAAGTTACACCAAATGAAAGGGCAGCTGTTATGAATGTGTTGTTATGTAATACTTAACCATAATTGGCACTAAATTGCACTGCTTGGCCACAGTTTCACAATCAACAAGATAACAAAACTCCCAAATATTTATATTTTTTAATACACTGTATTACTGTATACTATTCATTAAGATTTTTTATACTTAAAAAGTTCTTTATACTTAAAAGTTATTCTTTGTTTGTTTAATTATTTGTAAATTATTATGTTTAATAAATTTAAATAAGGAAACCTTTATATTGATTTCAGCTGTGCTTGCATAATACTTGAATTAATTTTTCAACCCGTTTTGGCCATGAGATTTCAAAGAGATTTTAGCTCTTTTTTACTTTGACAGTTTGAATCTATCATTCTTCAGTCAGTCATTCCCCTTCTTGAGACCATGAACCCATGGAGAATAATTCCTTACTACACTGGTTATCATAAATTAAGGAAAAATCACAAAAGTCACGATTACTCAAAAAGTTACATGTAGAATTTTATGAAACTTACCCACTATATACAACATATAGTAAGGCATCAAATTACATAAAAATAAATTACCAGACAATTATGGTAGTATAGAAATTAGCACATGTATAAAATGAACAAATCAAAGGTGTCAGTTTGCTATAGGAAAAGTGCCTTCAATATGGAATATGGTCGCCTCTAGAAGCAATATAGCACATACAGCGATGCGTGATGCTTTCAATTATGCGGTCTATCAGTTCCATAGGAAGCGAGAGCCATTGCTCTTGCAAAGCAGTTGCAAGCGCGGCAAGAGTCTGAGGGGGCAGATTGAGAGCAGCTAGACGTCTCTCTAAAGCATTCCAAACGTGCTCGATGGGATTCAAGTCCGGGTATCGAGCTGGCCACTCCATGCGCATAATTGTTTCCTGTTGAAGATAATCATCTATGATGCAAGCTCTGTGTGGTCTTGCGTTATTGTCCTGTAACAGAAAAGCATCACCTATTGCCCCAGCACATGGGTGCATATAAGCATCAAGGATGTCATCTTTATAAACATGAGCATTCACGGTTTATGTTGGAAAGACATGGAGGTCTGTGCATCCACCCAAAGGGATGTCACCCCAAACACAGACACTACCTCTTCCGTATGCATCTCTTTAACGGATGTTTGACAGATGATAACGGGTTCCGGGTTCTCTCCATATCAAATAACACCTACTATCGCTTTCTAGACTAAACCTGGAGTCATCTGTAAAGAGACAGCCCTCCACTGATCAGGCGTCCAGTGGACATGTTGTCGTGCCAACTGCAGACGGTCCCTCCTATGGCGTGACGTGAGCGGCATGCAAATGGCTGGTCGTCTCGCATACAGACCACCTTCGTGAAGCCTTCTACGCACGGTTGACATTGACACCAGCCTTCTGGTGGCTGCAGCAAGGGAGGATCTAAGAAGAGTCGGAGTAGCGGTTCTATTCCTGCGTGCACATAATGTCAAATATCAGTCATCGGCGCTCGTCGTAGCAGTTGGCCATCCTTGGCTTAACCTGCTAGATGCCAAATCTGTGGTTTGAAATCACCTCCAAAGTCTATGAACCACAGAAGGACTCACATTTAGCCATCTGGCCACTTCTGTTTGACTGTATCTTGCCTCTAGTCTCTCAATGGCTTTCCATCGTAGTTCTGCAGGCAGATGATGCCTGGAGGTCATTGTTACGAATTGGCTATCTCACATTTCTGATGTCACTATCACAGTAAAATATGTGGGCTTGCTCTCAAACATGGACTTTTATTCTCCTCGCAGATGACGTATTCCGAGTTCAGCGCCACTAATTTGCATATTGCAGTTTTACTCAACTACTGTTACTTGGCAACATATTCAAATTTTACACGGTTTGGCTTATTTTTGAGGGAGTTATCGCTATTTTTGTGATTTTTCCTTAATTTATGATAACCAGTGTAGTTCAGAATCCTTGTTGTAAACCATGTTCATGCCAAATTTTTAAACAAAATATTGAAATTACAGATATGCTCATTCATGGTTTGGGTGTGGCATTAGAGCTATAAAGTTGTCTAATAAATCTGTGATTTTCTGCTTTGGTTAATGTTTTGCTTCATAGCTATCTAAATTTTCTTGCTTGGTAATTATTTTTATTTATTTATTTAAGGGCGACTGAGGTGCCTGTTGGTGAAGATCAGTTGCAGCATATACAATTAAGTCAACACCTTGTTAAAATTTTCAATAATAAATTTGGCGAAATATTTCCAACTCCTGTACCATTAATAGGTATCTGCTTTTATATTGCATAATAAAAAAATTATAACTCTGACTTTTAAGCTAATTTAATTCATTATTTTTAGAGGAACTGTATTTTTCTTTCAGTGTGAGATGATACAAATTTTCTTAACTTATGTCTCGCTTAAAAATTTTATGAAGTTATTTTGATTATGCTAAACTTTTGTGGCATAAAGTTCTGTCATATGAATACTTGCATATATTATTTTTCTTTATACATGCAGAGCTGTTTATTATCAAGCATTTTCTTATATTAGTTATATTTCATTTTTAAGTATTATTTATTTATTTAGAAATTTTGTTGATTTTTGAATATTATATATTCTCTCTATTGTTCTTAGAATGTAATTCTGTATGGCCTTTGGATTGTGTTCCTTCTTTAAGTATAAATCATCTTCAGCCTCAACATGAATAAAATCTTCATCAGATAAGGCTGTTTAAAAGTCATAGCTATGGATCAGAATATCATCTTAAAATATAAGCTTATACAAATTGGCTGGCTGGAATTACTAAAATTCTTCATAAAATGGTACACTGTAAGATTTATTCATTCCTGTCATATTGTGTTATTTATTATCTGGCCATGTTTAACCAGACGAAGCTTCCTCTAAAAATGGACAGTGCTTATATATACATCATTGAATTATCTCAGTTATGACAGAACAGTGGCACACCCCTCTCCTAATTGTAGCAAGCATACTTTTATGTTATGTTCTTTCCTTTCACCTGTATCTTCTGGTGTGGTCATTTTGATATTGTCTTGTGTGAAACATCATTGTTGTAATATTTTGACATATTTATTTTGATTGTTATGCTGATGATTTTAACATATACATATGTATTGCTTTGAACAACTTTGCTATCACTATGTTCAACTGGCATTTGCTTTGCTTTGCTTTCTTGTCTTTCGCATTGATTGAATAGAAGATTTTCGTACATACATTTTCTGAAATCTTCTATTAACTATTTCATGCTTCCATAACAAACGTGTTGCTACATAAGATACTCTACATATACATTGCTGTCATCACGTATCTGGTCTGTAGAAATCATCCAATGAGTTAACATTACAGCAATGAATGGCTGGTGCAGTGGATGGAGGCCAACATTGGCAGTGTCTAGTCCAGTGGTCGTCAACCCTTAGAACTTCATGGACCACTACATATATAATTATATATTTGGCAGACCACTAATATGAGTTAAGAAAAAAAAAAAAAACACCTTAAATCAGACCTTAAAAACAACATATTACTATTCAAAAACTATGTTAAACTTTCCAATACATGTAATTCTATTTTTCATTTGTTAATATAATTTTTGAAACATTTGGTGTTCAGCAGCATGCCTTTATGGAAATTCAGGCTATGTCCCTGATTATGAGTAACAATTAAAACACTATTAACATCACATATTTCTTCACATTGAAAAATCATATGAAAAGTACAAAAATCTTACCTTCTTGTACAGAAAGCTTCACATTTCCATATCACTGAAAAGGAAATTCGTGAAAAGCAAGAACAAACCGGCAAATGCAAAGCAACATCAATAAACTGAAAGTGTTATGCCGCCAATTTTTAATTATTGTAAACATAATAATCAGCAATGGCGCCATCGATCAACAGTTAGACAAAACAAAAACGGAAACTTCCAGTGATGCAATTATAAACAAAAATGCATATGGTTCTCATAAAAATTCATCAACTTGCCTATTGACAGGGAGAAAAAACTGTATTATTAATGACTACAATAGCATATGTTTGTAATTCAAAAGGAAAGAGAATTCCAGTTCGCACTATTATTGAAAACAGCAAGCATATCCATGTGAAGATGCATAAGGTAAGCTTTGATCAAAATCGTGTCCAGATGAAAATAAAGAGTCTTTCAAATTAAACTAAGTTTTATTAACAAATTAATAAAATTATTATTATTACCGACGATTTAATCTCGGTTCATAATGAAACTATCCAGAGATAGTGCCAGAGACTCATTTCAAACCTTTATCTAATCTAATCTGCTACATAAAATATATATATATATATAGGGTTACATTAAAATACTTAACGAGAATAAATCACACTACACTGCAATACAAGGGGGTTGCAACACCATGGTTGCCAACTCTTACTTTCAAATGTCGCTAGATACACCTGCAAAAGTAACTAAAGAGTCGCTAAATTCATTGAAAGAATTTCACTAAAAGTAGTAGCTAAAATTTTAAAAAAAAAAAAGTCCATATTCCATAATAGTTCGTTACTCGTTATTTTTAAACTGAATCTTCAAAAACTATAAATAAAGTCCCAAGTTTTCTGCGAACCATCAAAAGGTTTTTACGGAAATGTTTTCATGTACCTATTTCAAAATATTCAGATAAATATTATTTTCTGCTCAAAATCTGTTTTATATATATATATTAATTTTTTACTGTCACAGAAAGGTATATGCTTAAAAAGTTTTGACTCAAAAATTTGAATATATGAGATTTGAAAATATAAGATTTATTATTAGCAGTTTTCTTTCAGTTATAAATTGCAGTATAGTTACATATTTATTTACTTTCAATTGAAAAAGCAATTTTTTTTCCCCTTTTCAGATGCCAATTGTGCAAGAATAAAGAGTTTAAGACAGCCTGATAAAAAAATGAGTAAATCAGATTTTAATTTCAAAAATCGAATTGAATTGACAGACAAACCAGATATAATACTGAAGAGGATAAAAGAAGCTTTAACAGATTTTACATCAGCTGTCACTTTTGATATAGATAAACGCCCTGGTGTCAGCAATCTAATATTAATCCATGGTCTTTGTACTGGGAAGTCCCATGATATTATTTGTTCTGAAAATCAGCATCTAAACACTGGCCAGTATAAGCTAGTAGTTGCAGAAGCTGTAATTGAATATTTGAAACCAATACAGCTAGAAATACAAAGGCTTCTGTCTGACCAATCCCACATTGATCAGGTGCTGCGAAAAGGGTCAGAGAAAGCAACTGAAATAGCTTCTAAAACTATGTTTGAAGTTAAAGAAGCTGTTGGCCTCTCATTTGATGTCAAGTTTAATAGTTGACAAAGACTATAAGTATGTAAATATTGAATTAGAAATTTTGTATTATAATTTTGAAAAAAATTAAACTCCTACTTAGTCTAGTTTTTTTTTATTTATTTATTTATTATTATTATTATTATTATTATTATTATTATTATTAAAAGAAACTCAACAAGTTCCCCATGTACCACATAGTATCACATGGGGCTTACAGAAGTAAGTATGAAACACAATACAAAATAAACAAGAGAAAATTGAAATAAAATCAAGGATGATTACAAAGTTTTACAATGAATTGACAAAAAATGTTAAAAGCACTTCTCACGGAAATAAATTGGTAAAACTCTGGAAGCCAGTTAATATTAAAATTTTTCAGTCCCAGTTTCATGACTTTTCTTTCGCTCTCATATTTAGGACATAGAAGAAGCACATGTTCTACGTTCTCCTCGCCGCTGAGGCCACAGTCACAGACAGACTCAGGACTCAACTTAAATCTGTTCAAATAACTTTTAAAATTCCCATGTCCAGTAAGAAACTGGGTTAATTTGTAATTTGTAAAGAAATGATGACACGACAATCTCATTTTAATAGAAGGGAAATATCTCCTAGTTAAAATCCCTTTATTTGAATTAATGAATTCGTGATTCCACGACTCCACAATGCTTTCATACATGACCTTCTTATAGAAGGAATTAGGGATATTGACAAAAGTGTCAATTTCCTGCTTAGTCGCAGTCTTAGCAAGGAAATCGGCTCGTTCGTTCCCAACAACACCTGTATGACCACTAACAAATGAAAATGAAACCGAAATATTTTTATCCTTTAGATTCTTCAGTTCTTTTTGAATCTCGATAATGATATTATTAGAAGAAGAAATACATTTTAAGATCTCCAAGGATGAAAGGGAATCAGTACAAATGAGATAGTCTGAAACAGCACTATTTTGTTTAGAGACCCATTTGATGGCGAAGTTTATGCACAAAAGTTCAGCTATGAAAACGGTACATTCATCTCTGATTCTAAATTGACAGTGCTCAAATTCAAGACCATCTTTGAAGACAACAAATGCGAGACCAACCATGCCATCAATTCTGCTGCCATCAGTATAGCAAGTTACAGGCGAATCACCCACAATTTTATTGCTAAACTGAATAAAATTAATAGCATTTCTTTCTGAAGGATGAGGGAGATCAGATAGAGGTAAAATACAATCATGCTGAGAGACAGTAGAAGCAGAAATATTTTCCTTATAAGTAATAGAATGAAGAATGGCAATGTCAATTGGAGGAAAGCCAGAAATTGCATAAACAGACTCATAGCTTACGGTATTTCTTTGATACATAAGTTAAGTGTTGTTTCCAAGAAAATTTACAGTCAAGAAAAACCCCAAGATATTTCATTTGCTTTACCACAGTCAAAGGGGTGCCATCGAGAGATAACTGAAATGCATCATAACAGATGTTTCGCTTTTCAATAATCATAACCCTGGTTTTATCAGGATTAAAATCTAATTTAAAACCTTTTGACCAGTTGGAGGCGAAATTTAAAGTCTCTTGTGCCTGTAAAAAAGTAGCAGAGAGGTCCCTACTCTGGAAGCAAAACAAAACATCATCTGCAAAGGCTATAGTATCACAACAAGCAAGATTTTCCAGTTTTGATAGGAGATCATTAATAATAATATTTCCAAAACGTAGGTCCTGAAACAGAACCTTGAGGGCAACCCCTTTTCAAGGTGACGGATTGCAGAAGCCGAGCCCAATTGCAATTTGGCCGCCCGATCATTTAAAAAATCAGCAGCAAGTGAAAAAATATTCATTGGAAGTTCTACTTTTTTTAGCAGATTGAGAATACAAGGCCACCACGCATAGTCGAAGGCATCCTTAATAACCAAAAAGACCAAAATAGTGTGCAAGTTTTTCTTTTTTCCTCTCTGAACAATTTCATTCAAGCGTTAAGAGCATCTTCAGAACTTTTTTGAGGTGTAAAACCATACTGATTACCAGAAAGAAGGTCTCCATGACGGAGATACCAGCAAATTCTGTTAATAAAACGTTTTTCCAAGCACTTACCCAAAACAGGAAGTAAGCTTATACATCTAAGGTTATCTAGGTGAGGAATCCTAGACTCATTTCCTTTAGGAATAAGAATTACTTGAGCATGTTTCCAAACACGTGGGAAAATGCCAACATTTAGGCAAATGTTAAAAAGTTTATGGAGAAATCGAGGAAACATTAAATGAAACTGTTTAATAATCTCATTCGAAATAAGAGTCAGGACCAGGTGATTTGTTTGGTTCCAGCATAGAAATAACTGTATTAACTTCATCACAAGTAAACATAGAATCTACAAAAGAAGAATAAGCAGTACGCGCAGATTGACGGTATTCCTTATGCAAATCATCATCAGTTTCCTCTAGATCCGAGGGGAAAGATTTCTGAAGCACAGCAGTAATTGTCTCTTCTAAAGAGTTGGTTGTCTCTCCAGTGGAAAGACAAATACCAATTATTTCAATTTTTTTCATGAAATCTCTTTTAACTCCATACATGTAAATCTTTTTCCATACATTGTGAACATCAGTGGTCGAAAGAAATGTTTTCCAAGACTGAGATTTAGCATCGGCAAGCTTTAGATTGTAAACCTTTCTATATTCAAGATATTTACTTTTATAAAGTTCTCTAAGAGGTGGATTTTTACAACGCTGAAATCTACGCCTAGAGGCATTAAGCCTCTTTCTCATACAAAAAATTTTGGCAGACCACCAAGGAACATTGTGCTTACTATGATTCCTAACAGGTATGAAAATTTGAGATGCCTGGAGAAGAACAGAACTAAAATTCTCAACAAGAGTATTTAGTCGTTAAGAATATCAATGAAACGGGTGATGCGAGAAGAACAAACTTTAGTTGTGGTCATTATTTATTTAGAAATTTTTGACATGATATTTCATTAGCAAACATTATGTGGCATATCATTATTTTTTTTTTTAGTTAACAAACCATAAATTTGTGCAAAACATGTGTTATTAAATCATTGACGCATATGCAAATATAAACATATTTTTGAAAGTGAAAAATCATAGCATTTATTGGAACATTTCTTGCTTGCTTGATAAAGCAATCTAAAACATAATTTCAAGGAAAAGATTCTTTTGGGTGTCAATTATTACAAATCTGTTCATGTCGAAACAGAAGAGAGTTACCATTTTGAGTAATAGTAAATTGGCCTTTAAAACTGATGTGGATTATGAGACCATAGTGTATTAAATTTGGTGATATGGTAAAGTTTGAGCTTGTCAAAAATGTTGCTGTGAAGTTTGTGCTGTCTACAGATACATTGCCTCGAGTGTCAGAACAACTTTTGTTGGATTTGGCTCGTCTTGGAAGGCCCTTACAGTCGACTGCTGTTTTATTTCAGGCTCATATGCATAGATGTGTCACCTGTATAGATAGCCTTTGATGCACCTTGAACGTATTTTCTAACATTTCCTTGCACCAAATCAACACGAGTGTTCTTTTGAGCATTTGTCTGATTATGCAGGATGCAACGGGAAAAAATCTTTTTTACAGCCAAATGTTCGTTGATGCTTATCATACTAATGTCTAAAGATGCATCAACCTCATGGTATGCTTTTAAAATGAGGTAACTCCAAAACATACATTTTGAATGTACCAACCACTTCTTCAGGTGTTGCAAATCTCTGATCATGTAATTTATTTCTGATGTGCTAAAATAAAAAAGTCATTGGGTGCCAGGGCTGTATGGCCGATGACCCATCAATTCGATGTTTTGGCCTGTCAAAAATTTCTTTGTTTGGGCCCATGTATGAGAGCTCTCATTGCAATGATGAAGAATGATTCGCCTCTTCTTTTGCTTTTTTCAAATTTGTCTGATGACTTCTGGCAAACAAATGGTCGCATACTGTTCGGAGTTGACTGTCCTGCATTGCTGTAACACCACTGTCGCCACATGACCGGTAATGCCAAAGAAACAGGCAATCATTTGTTTTCATGTGCTTCTTTTGCGAAGAACTGTCGTTGGATTTGGCTTGTCTTGGAAAACCCTTACAGTCGACTGCTGTTTTGTTTCATATGGCAGGAATTTTCATGCACGGTGGTAATAAAATTATCTTATTTAGACAAAGCCAATTTCTTCATGAATGGATTATTATAAATGTACGAGGGAGCTTGAGAGATCAGTCTCATAACACAGTTCTGTGCTTTTTTTTACTGTCAGATTTACTGAAATATTATGATGCCTGTCCATACTCAATGATGTCCTATCAGGCATAATAACACCTGTTCAGGCATCATAGAGCAGTAATCTTCTTACAGGATTGCAATACATATCTTAAAATTAGTACAAAACTGATCTGCTGTTATCAGTTAAGCAGAGAATGTTCTGTATGTGTCAAAAGTTTACTCCTGCATTGGCTAAACAAATACCAAATGCACCTTATTTTGCCATTTTATTAAGTAGTTTACATTAGGACTGTCATTGTTGATCTATCGCTCTTCTTCCAGGCATTTAAAAACCAGGAGTTGTAAAAATGGAAAGTAATAATAAAACTATCTGATAGAAAGATAGCTTATCATATACTGAAAAACATGAGGCAATGATTTGGTTGTTTAACCCTATTCCTTCCTTTTATCATATATTAAAGGTTAAGAAAGTTGCATTAATTTTTGGTTCACAGCAGTTTTGTACTAGTACAACTTTGAACTGTCATTGTTGATGCTAGTTGTTAATAAGTAATATACGTTCTTGGTAACAGCTGAATTAATTACTATGCAGTAACTGTTTGCCACAATGAATGAATGAATAATTGAAGCTATATATTCATTCATTATATCAATGTTTTTTGAAAAACCTGATGGCTGAAAATATAATAGATACTGTTTTTTTATTGCTGGGTGCTTCATGGGGTTTGAATTCCACTGAATGGCCCAGCTGCGTAGGTGTTTCCATGATTTTCCTCATGTGTAATGTGTGCACAAGTCAGTAGTCAGTTTCCCTAAGAAAGTTCTTCACAAAGGCACCCTTAGGCAGATAACTCTGGAGTGCTTTGCCATAATCAAATAAATCAAGCCAAGCTGAATGCTTC